AATAACTTTCAACAATAACTATCTAGAGACAAAAAGAAACATTTTTTATAAAATAATATAAAAGTTTAAGAATTACCCTTTTATAAACCTAAAGCTTAATAATAGAATATAAAAAAACTTAAACAGTAAGATTTGAATATAGCAAAACAGTCAATCAATTATGATTGAACATTATGAAAAATTTTAAATTATATATTACTCAATTTGTTTACTGCTTCAGTTCATCATTACTGTTTGTTTTACTCAAGAGAGTGTGTGAAATGTTCATCTGATTAATAAACTTTTTGCTGCTGTTTGCTCTATTTGGATATTGATCATCTTTTTGGTCAAAAGAATCATTATTCTCATCAGAAGATAGAACAAGACCAAGTGAAGAAGAGATGCTACTATGTCTATTTCTTTCGGGCATTTTGGACTTGATTTCANACCTTATTAGTTGTTCTTCTTGTTCTTGCTTAAATCTTTTAGCTACTAATCGCTCTGCTTTTCTCTTAAAATTTCGTTTATTTAACGATACAATCTGTATCAAAGATAACAAAGTAAAAAGTTTATAGCAGCAAAAAGTTTATTTATCAGATGAACATTTCACACACTCTCTTGAGTAAAACAAACAGTAATGATGGAATTGAAATTATAAGTGCCAGTGAAAGAGAAGTTAACTTTGAATCTGAAGATGAAAGTTTTATGGACTTCGACAATAGAGATGACAAAGAAAGTGCAATTGAAAAAAATGACATAGCGTTACAATTTAATAATAATACTAAAAAAGAAGAATTTCTTTTTAAAACACTTCGAGAATGGGCAAGAGCACCTGGTGTTCTTTCAATGTCAAAATTAGATGATTTACTGCAAAGATTGTCTCACGGATTTCNTGATTTGCCAAAAAGTTACAAAACTCTATTGAGTAATCCCAACATCAATATTGATGACTTTGATGGAGGTCGATTTTGGTATAGAAGCATTAAGGAAAATTTAGATTCTTATTTATTACATGAATATTTGAGAGTAAATGATAAAATTCTANTTGATATCAATATTGATGGATTGCCTTTATTTCGTAAATCTAAAAAGAAATTTTGGCCTATACTTGGCAAACTTGTAGGTATTAAAAATGATCCATTTATTATTGGTATTTATCTTGGGGAACATAATCCAAACAATGTTGACAAGTTTTTGTTCAATTTTATAAATGAAGCAGATGAACTTTCTAATAATGGTTACTCACGAGATGGTAAAATATATCACTTTTCTATTAGNCATTACATTTTGGATGCACCTGCCAGATCTTTTGTTAAATGTTGCATAGNACATTGTGGTTATGCAGCCTGTGAAAAATGCACTGTATGGGGAATTCGAGCAGATAACAGAACTGTTTACGCTGACCTCAATGCATCTTTGCGCACTGACGAGTCATTTTGTAATNAAAAACAACCATATCATCATAGAGGTATTTCACCATTATTGAGATTAAAAGCTG